GAAATAATCCATGGTGACTTCAGGTTTTTTAATAACATTAAAAATATCAAATGTTGAAACCATTGCATCTAATTCAGAGGGCATAAACTCAAGCAATTTATGTATAACAACTCCATTTTCAACCTTACCACTAGCCAACCTTAAATTTGTTGTGGTTGATTCAAATTCTTGAAATTTCTTCTGCTGTGCTTTTATTTTTAATCATAATAAATATCATTTTACACATGGGTCTAATTAAAATAGATTGTGCTTTTACATCAATAGTTGAAGTTTCACATTCGTAGAAGGATCCTCAGTAAGTGCATGCTGCTCTATACCAACTTAATTTGTAAGTACCAGTTAACAAAATTCTCTGCATCAAAGGTTTAACCCCAAACATATTGAATGGTATACTATTTGAATTTGCAGAAATCATTCCATAACAGCAAATCGAAAAAGTACACTCTCAAATCACTACTATTTAGCACTTAGCACATTCTCTGGATTTCACTAATAATTATTGTACTTTCTGGTCCCATAACCTATTAGATAGGTTATAAAATAAAAATGGTGTGAATAGCCTCTTGGTTACAAGTTATATATTTCTAAAAGATTGTTGATTGTTTAAATACAAATTGTATAAATAGATAAATAAATACATTAAATCTAAGACTATTGATTATTTCATGGCCTTTTATTTTAAAACAGAATCGTTAATTTGTCCAAGATACTATTTGGTCTCCCTGTTAATGGGTCTTCTGAAACCCTTACAGATAGTATGTTGGCTCAGCTAACTGCACACATTAATGTATAAAAGAAAATGGGAAAGATTAATGTAATATTGAGTTTGCCTAGGAGCAGCTTCATGTTTCCTTAGATTTAGAGCAGATGTTAAAACTTCATAGATATTTTCTTCTGCTGTGCCTAGTATTTGTTTTCTCACAGCTAATATGTTTACTATTATTTCCTATTAATATTAACATCCGTATACAAATACATTTGTTTTTTTAATGTTTTGGCTAATATATTGAAACCAACACCCATATTTAGCTATTTAACTTGTCATTTTGACCAATCTTCAACTAAGAAATTGTCATAATTCTACATCATATTTGAACATCGTCTATCATTAACTTTGTAACGTGGGTGGATTGATTTATTTTATTGCATAAAATATATTTTTCTTCATTGCATATTTTTGTTCATTAAATATATGTATACACACATGCATGCATGCTCTCACATACATATATATTTGAAGATCTTGAGTTTCAGTCAATAAATAACCTGCTATATATTGGTGATGGCTTTATAAAAAGCAACTATATAAAAAGAATGTGCCCCAAGTGGGTTGATACAAGACAGTATATTTTTACCCACCCTCTGCCATTCAGCCTCAGATCGAGCGTCCGAACATAGCTTGGGTGCCCAATAGGTTCATTGCATCCATCCCACATATGTATATTCACACATATATATGGATGGAAGCAATGAACGCCGCCTCTGTTGTCCGCGAGTCCCATCGGACTCCCCAGGGGGTCACCACATGGAGGTGACAGTAGGCGTTGATAGGGATAAGGAGATCTGGGAAGTCTCTAGCAGTGGGTAGGGCACTGACGCTTGATCGTTCCGCAAAGATTGAGGGAGACTCCCGCACTCATATCTCTCTCTAGACCTCCCATTACCCTACCCATTTACCCCCCAAAACCAACCAGTCAACCAAATAAGTTTGAAAACCATTAACAAAAATAAAACACCAAACCTTGCCATTTCCATCTGGTGTTAAGAGCGTTTACTTTTATCCCCACTATATTTTTATTTTCCTTTAGCATTAATTATCTGCTCTTTCTTTCCATCCCTTATAATATCACCTCTTTGTGGTTACCTATGTTTTACTTCATCCAAAGTAATATCTCATTGGGCCGATCTTACACATGCTTAAGAGCAATTAGAAACCTGATGTCAAATATAGCTATCCTCCTTTCATCATTATGTCTACGTTTATGCTCATGTAAATATTTTTTATACTTATATTTTAAAACCCAGAATAAATTACGGACATCATTACTACTATACAATAAACATGATGAATAATTGTAGTTGATCTCCTCATAATAGTCACTTATTGCTGCATTTTTGTTTCATAGATATCCTTCCTCTCTTCTTCAAATGCACACCATGTTACAAATCTTTTTATGCATTTAAGTTCAATATAGCTATCCTCCTTTCATTATTATTTCTAAGTTTGTACATGTTTTAATATTTTTTACACTAATATTTTAAAACCCTGAATAAATTAAGAATATTATTTCTATCAAATTATTCAATACACATGATGGATAGTTGTAGTTTTACTCCTCTTAATTGTGGCTTGTTTCTGCATTTTTGTCTCATATGTATATCTATCTCCTTCAAATGTATGTTATGTAATAAATTGTTTTATGCATTTAAGTTTTATTTTAACCAGAATTTATTTTGTGTATACTTACTAATAACTTTTTACTTCCTATGTCTGTTCAATGTTATCATCCATTTTTAATCATATGGGTTGTATGCATCTGGGAAAAAAATATTCAGAAATTTTAATGAAATAACATTTGACTATGTTTGTCAACAATATTAGAAATGATGTAAATCATGATGTTTTAAAATTTATTATTAAAGTTTTAGAGGTTTTCTTCTTAAAATTTTGTTCATTGGTTTGGGGTTAGCATCCTTATGTTCTTCATCTTGGGCAGGAAGGATGTTTCATTGTAAGGTAACCAACCTATTCTAGCCAGAATTGTAAGGTCAAGATTTATTCTGTGAGCTTGCTTTTGAAATAAATTTCAACCTGTCCAGGTCTAATTATTCTGATTCGGGAATGCTGAAGGAATACCTTAACATTCTCGGCCTCCATAGATGTTCATGAAATTTGTATGAATAATTAGTCAATTTTATCTATTCTTCCATTATCTAAGAGTGGTGTGTGTGTGTGTGTGTGTGCATGCATTCGTAATACTAAAAAATGAATAGGGATATTCTTAGTTAAGTATGATTTATTTTATTTTTATCATAAAATGCATTGAAAATTAATATAAATAAGATTTTATTTGACCTCAGAAAATTTAATAATGTGTGATCTTGTTTTTATGATGGAAAATTGTAAAATTTTTGTAAAATTGAATAATTTGTGTAATATCCTCTTTTATGCACTACCTCTCTGCACCTATTACCTTACTCCTAACGCCATTCAACACTCCAATTACCACCTATAGCCTATGATTTCCAAATATACCAATCATTCTAGCCTTCTGAGATGCCTGAGGCTGCCCGGAGGCTACAAGAGGACATCGACTGCATCAACAGATGGGCAGAAATAAATGAATTAAAGCTGAATGCAGATAAAACCAAGGCTATTATCATCGGGTCCAGACATCTCATTAGCTCCCTTCCTTACTTTCCTCTACTTTACCTCAATAACCATCCCATCCATTTTTTCCCTACAGTCAAAAACCTAGGTGTAACCTTTGACCAGAACCTCTCCTGGGATAATCATATCTCCCAGATTACCCGAAAATCCATAACTGCCCTTAAACAACTCCTAAGATTCCGTGATTGTATTCCTCTAAAAACCAGACAGCTCCTTGTAACCTCCCTTGTATTCCCCCACTTCGACTGCGGCTGCTTGGTGTATGGAGGGTTATCTGCCAGGCTGGAAATGAGACTAAAAAGACTCATGAATTGTTTAATAAGATACATTTTCGAGATCCCCAGGCGTTCACATGTTTCACTATGGTACACCGAGTTGAAGTGGCTTTTTCCTACTTCCCGATGACAATTCCTTCTTGGCGTTTTCCTTTTCCAAGTCTTCAGAACCAAAAATCCTTCCTACATCCTGGAACTCCTTACTCCGCGCTCCTCTATCCACTCTCTCAATACTAGGTCTCAACCTATAGACTTATATATTCCCTCCCATAAAACTTCCTCCTTCAGCAAATCCTTCATCATTCGTGCTGCTTCCTTATGGAACTCACTTCCTACCTCCATGCGTCAATCCTCATCCACAAACTCCTTCAAACAACTCCTGTTCCAACACCTACTTCACATTCAAACTTCCCCTAACATTATATTATAAAATTATTATTATAAAAGTTATTATAAAATTACTTGCATCTATACAATGTTTAATTTCAATCCATTGCACAATTGAAATAACAATTAACAATAAATTAGTTGGTATTTTTACTATGTCAGACTAAGATACATAAATTTGTAACTCTGTTATTATTCTTAGGGGACAGTAGTCCCAGAATAAAATTATTTTTTCATTTCATTTCATTGAGCATACCATTTATAAAGTTGTCACAGAATTACATATATTACATACAGAAGTACACTTTATAAAGGAATTTCATACCATAAACATGGTTACACTGCTCTCAGTTGCTGAAGGTTAAGAAGCTGCAAATGGTGGTCAAAAAGCCTTCTCGGTGGTGCATCCCACATATGCTCATTGGGATTGAGTTGTGGAGACAATATGGAAAGAGGCAGATGTGAAATGTTCAGATTTTCAAGTCATTGACAAACAACTTATCTCTAATGAGATCGAATATTGTTGTCAAGAAAACGGAAATCTGTGCCAATTATGGCCCTGGTTTGAGGAATGTACTCTATAATTTCTTTAACATAATGAACTTCAATGAGATTACCTTTCACAATATGGAGTAGAGTCCGTCCTCTTGAGTAGATTGCATTTCTATACTGAATTCAAGGAAGCATAAATCCCCTGTTCTCAGTAGACTCTTCGGCACCTACGATCACTATAAATACAGAAAGATGACTTGTCTGTAAACATAACAGCATTCTAATTTGTATCCTCATTTAGGCGATTGCTGCACCATGATCTACAGAGTTGTTGGCTACGCACTGTTGCTGCAGGTCATCTTAGAGGGGCATATGAAGGGCGTAGACCAACTTCCCACAAACAATTACAAATGGTTTGTGTTGGCAGGGCCTTGGAAGAACATTCAACACTTCATTTAGGCTCTGTCAGGCACTATAAAAAGGGTTGCTTCTTGCAGTAATCCAAATATTTCTGTCATCCCTTGCTGCCGTAATGTGCTGAGATCCATTAACATCTCTCCTATTGGTACTTTTGGTTTTCTGAATCTGGTTAAAGCTCGGGAGACCACAATCTGGGAAACGCCAACTGCATTGGCAATATCGACTTGCTGGTGACCTTGACCGCTCATTCTCACGATAATATTTCTAACTTCTGGTTCAATATAATATCTTTCCTTCGTTAAACAGATATTACTCGTTTAAAATTGAGAAAAGTCTATAACAACTGTTGTTTTGCTAAATAAGTATTTTCATGTTTACTATCTTTTAGTTAATAATTTATTGCAAAAAAAAATTGTTGTTTGCTTTTTATGTCAACCAACAAATAGAGAATCTCTGACAAAAAAAAAATAATAGGTTATTTTAATTTAAATAAATAAAATAAGCATAAAATAGAAATATCCCTATTCATTTTTGAGCAGTATGTATATGTGTGTGTATACACACACACACACACACACACACACACATATATATATATATAAATATATATATATATATGTGTATATAAACTCCCCATCAAAAGTATCACAAAATTTTGAAATATTTGAATTTTACAAAAACGTCTGTTTTTCCATAATAAAGAAAGGTTCTGAAGTCTATAATAAACAGTTTTAAACTGGACATAAACAAGTTTTATTAAAATAACTTTAAAATGTTTAATTTACACAATAAGACATGTTGCCCCCTCTGGCTTGAATAACTGCTTCCACTCGTCTTGGCATACTTGTAAAAAGATTTTGAAGAAAATCTTGGGGTATATTGCCTCACTCCTCCAATACAGTTGCCTTTAGCATTTCAAGGGTAGTAGTAGGTGAATCTCATGACCGAAACTTTCTTATAAGATAATCCTAAACATGCTTGTTTGGATTAAGGTCAGCACTTCTTGCTGGCCAATATATGGTGTTCAGGTACTCAGAAAAAAATCTTGCCTTGTGAGGACAGGCATTATCATGCATGAGCAACAATTCTGAGCCTATGAACGGTATAAAAAGCACTACATGATCTTGAAGAATCATTTCTACATACCTCAAAGCATTCAATGGCCCTCCTTGGATTTTCACTAACTCGGTACATGCATCCCAAGATATGCCACCCCCGAACATGATAGAACCTCCCTCCCCTCCCACCAAAGCACTGACTATACCGCTCTCCAAGCCTTCCCCAAACTCTTTCACCGTCATCTGCTCTGTTAAGGGCCACTCTCTTCTTATCAGTGAATAAAACTTAGTTCAAGATTGGTGTTCCCTTGCAAATCTCAATCTCTTTGTACAGTGTTCTGCAGTGAGAAGAGGACGTTTCACTGGCCTTCTTGAGCTGATTTTTTACTGTCTCAGTTTTCTAATGACCGTTGACTCCAAGATTGATATCCCTCGAACACCAGCAATTAAGATTTTAATGAAAGAAATTGTAGAATTATGCTTCTGAAGTGTATGCATTTTAATGAAGCGGTCATCTATGGAATTAGTAATCCTGGGGCGCCCTGACATTGGTTGCCTCGAATGACTACCAGTCTCCTTGTATTATTCTGACCAAATCATCGTGGCTTAAACTATTTGTTGTGAATAAAATTAATTGTTATAACTAGACTAAAGAGAAAAAAGATAACAGACTTGAGGCAAACAAAAAATAAACATGGTCTGAAAGGAAATTTGAAATGAATAAACTGAAATTCCATCATTTGTTGTTAAACAGTAAATAAAAATGATGTATCTAATCCCTAAGAAAGGGAACTAATCCCTAATGTCTCTCATTTAATAAATAATATTACTATAAACATAAACAAAGCATGGATTAAGGTCAAAACCAAGAAAATCTCGTGAATTATGCGTGTTGCAATACTTTTGAAGGGGGAGTGTATATATGTGTGTGTGTGTGTATTATATATATATATATATATATTTAAATATACATACATATTGATAAGGAAAAGATTACATGGGTGATAAATATTCAGGACGCAGTCTTTTTAAATTTTTATTTATGCCAACAATTCAACCTAAACATGTGAGTCATCTTCAGGGCGTGATTTGAGCACTGAGGGTGTTCAGGTACTGAAAAAATTTAAAAAGACTGCTTCCTGAATATTTATCACCCATGATATGTAGAACAATCAACTAACTTCCTTCAAGAAAAGATTACAGTTTAGGCATCAGCAAATTGACTTCACTTACTACTCCAATAACCGAAATGTTGTCATCTTCAGTAAGTTTTATAGCATTTTAAAAAAGAGCTGCTTGATTGTACAAAACCTGCTAGAGAAAAATATTTAAGTCTTGAAAACTGTGTTATCATTGAAATCATAAATTAGACATCAAATTATTTGCTTTCAAAAATACGCCTTTAGAACTAAATTCTCAACCTTATTTTAGCAGAATACTGTGACACCTGATTAACATTTGCATCCGATTATCATTATGTAAAATTAATTATAGTAACAACAAATTTTGACTATTGTTTGGACTTAATGAACAAAATTTTAATCATCAAGAACCTCCTCCCCTGATCAACAGTGTCCTGCTTTACTAATGTTAAAATCTTGTCACCTTTATCATTCCTCTTAAACAAGCGAGAGCCTGATTTAAAATTTTGTTTAGTAATAATTAATATATGTATATTATATTACATATAATAATAAATGTATATATTAGTATATACATATAATAATAATATGTTTATTTTATACATATATATATATAAATATATAATATATATATATATATACACACACACACACACACACATACACATACATATATGTATATTATTAAATATCCTTACCAGTGTAGACATATATACCAGTGTAGATTGTTTTTGATTAATTAATTATTACTAAACAAAATTTTAAATCTTGCTTGTTTTAGAGGTGTATGGTAAAGATACCAGATTTTAAGATTGTTAAAGCGGGACACCGGTGACCTTGAGGAGGGGGAGGTTTGATTAAAAATTTGGTTCATTAAGTCCAAACAATAGTCCGAATTTGTTGTTAAAATAATTAATTTTGCATAATGATAATCAGGTGACTTAGTATTCCGCTGAAATATTAGTTTGATGAAATATTAGTTAGAAATGAAATAGTTTGATAATTTAGTTCTAAAGGCATATTTTTGAGAGTAAATAATTTGATGATGTATTTGACATCTAATTTATGACTTCAATAATAACAAAGTTTTCAATAATAATGATATCTCATTAAAAATATACTTTTCAAGTTGTTTATTATCAATAGGTCCAAACAATGGTGGTCAAATTGTAACAAATGTTTATTGTCTAAGGCTGTACTTGAATGGTAAAAAATAAATTAAAATTAGTTTTGCAGGTTCTTGAAAATGGCTCCTGAAGCCGAAACGTTGAATAAAACATACAGGAAATAAAAAAACTGTGTTTTTTTGGTGACCTATGGCCTAAAATAGACATATATTAAATCAACTGAACAACATTGCAAACTTTGCTAAACAGTTCTCGATAATCAGTTAGTTTGAAGAATTAATAATTATTCATTAGTATTAAAGTTTAACATTATAAAGTCAACAAAAATAATATAACCTCATATCCTGGTGAAATAGCTGCATGGCCACTGAAAACCGCATATTCTCTTCCTGTTCTGCCGTTCCCTAGCTTAATGTGCATTCTTTCCAAAAATTTGGACTTTTTCAAGATGCTGCGGGACAAGGGACATATTGTTAGAAATTGGGACTGTCCCTCCAAAAGCGGGATGCTTGGTCACCTTAGGTATGGGTTCACTTGTGAATAGCTATCATTTATCATTTTCAATTGTTCACTGGCAAGAGTACATAATAAAACAAAATAAATTGAAATTTAAAATTATTATTTTAAATAATAAAACTCCTCTTATCATATTAGGTGAATAGCCATCAAATTAAACTGAAATAAATTGCTACCAGGAAATAAAATTTATAATAAAAAAATATGAAAATTTAAAAACTTAATAAAATAAAAATGTACAATGAATGCAGTTATTAACAAATTCTATTTAACATTCAAATAGTTATCATTTACTAGAATCAAATGAACATCCATAACTAGTATTTTATTTTTATCTTATACTCATTTAGTGCTTTTATTTTCCTTTTTTATTTTTTTAATTAATTAATTCGATTTAACTGAGCTCAGAGTAAATGTTTAGTTTTTGCAGAAATAATATGTAAAAGTATTTGCAATTTGTTTTGTAGACAAGGGATTTCTGAATTTAGTTATAATGAATTTTGACTGTATGAGAATTAAATATGCAATACTTTTAATTCTGTTCACTGTTATAGACTATTGTTTTAGGAGGCGGAAAATATTCGAATATGTAATGCAGCTCTTTTTTTTGTCTACTTTGTGATTTACCGCATTATTTTTTTTCCAAATTATTGAATATAGCTTCTGAAAGTAGTGGTTTTTGGTGATTGGGAACTATGGTAAGTATGGTTGGATTTTTAAAATAAAATGTCTGGTTAAGGGTTATGGCGTGATTGACTAGTTTCGAGGCAAGTGGATTTCGTGTGGAGATGCTGTATTTGTGTTGATATATTCGTTTTTAAGATAATTTTTGGTTTCTCCTGTATAAGAAGAATTGAAGTTTGGGCTAGATTTGATCGTTGCAGGAGCGGAACAAAATCTTTGAGTTTGGTGTATAAATTTCTTAATTTACTGTTATTTTTGAAAACTATTTGTAGATGGGAGAATTTGAAAGTTGGAGATTTTTTGAATTTTTGATATAGGACCGGGATGGGGATGTATGGAATGGATCTATATTGGCGAATCATGGTAGGAGATTGAGAGCAGTTTGTGGGAGACTGATGAAGATGATGTTTGAATTGATTTTTGATTAGGTTTTTTATTATGTGATCATGAAAGGTGCTGGATTTCAGGATCTTTTGTAGTTTAGTTAGGTTATTGTTGTGGAATTGTTGGTCAGCTAGTATTATACTGCGGTGTATCAGGTTTTTAGCTACACTAAGTTTTTAATGAAAAAAGTATGTTGACGATCTCTTACTAATCCTCAATCCCCACGCTATTCCAAACATACTTTCTACATTCAATTGATACCTTCCTCGACTCCATTTTACCATTGAAATAGAATCAAATAATTCCCTCCCATTTCTTGATCTTCTCATTTACAGAAATGATGATAATACCTTATCCACCAATTGGTACACCAAACCTACCTATTCCGGCCGTCTCCTAAACTATTTTTCACAACATCCTTACCACCAAAAAATTAGTGTAGCTAAAAACCTGAAACAAAATACATGTTTGTCGGAGCCGACAATGAGGTTGGTCCACAGAGCATTGGAATATGTGGTCTCACCTTCGAGTGTGTCAAAAAATTCACATACCTGGGGGTGGAAGTGAATTCTGAAAATAAAATTACTGCTGAGGTGTACAAGAGGATCATGGCTGGAAACCGGGCGTACTACACAATTTTGTAACCATAAGAAACAACGCAAATCTTGTATACATTTTAAATAATTTAGTCAGCAAATTATTTGCATTCTACTAAGAGAAATGTTACCCACCTCCCCCTCTGATTATTTTTACCTACTGTTTGCTATCTGAAGAAGCACATCTGGGAAATCCTTTCCCGATCCTTTTACTTACCTACCAAAGAGTCAGTACTTGAATACCTTCAGTGCTCAAAACACGCTTAGTAAGAGAAAATATTAAATGTTTTATAAGTTGATTATATGCATTATTTTTAGTTTGTATAACTTTTTACATATTTCATTTATCTATTTCATATATCATCAATCACTATATTTTTATTATTAACCATTATCTGTCAAATAATACTATATCTCTGATTGTATTAAAAAATTTCAGTCCTGATGATGACCCATATGTTTGGGTTGAAACTTCGGCACTAATAAAAACTTTATAATGACTGCATACTGAATATTTATCATCCATGATATGTAAAACAGTCGACTAAGTTCCTCCAATTATTCCTCTCCTTGTTTTATAGTAGTCTTAGTAACTGCTAGTTATGAGGTGTTTGTTGTGATAATTCTAATTGATTTTGGCTCAAAGTCACTCATACTCTACTTGTATTCTGCCTCTTATATTCACTTAAAAATAATAAAAAAATTACATTTTACTTTATTTTTAATTAGACCGTACTAAATTCTTCACGTATGAATATATATATATATATATATATATATATATATATATATATATATATATATATTTACAAAATTTCTTCAATCGATCTTTGAGTATTATATTTTAACATAATTATTTAAATTGGGAATTAGCTACTTAATAAGAGTAGCTTAATATCTGTGCTAGTAGACGGTGCTGAGGCTGTCGGTGTGTCCCTGGCCTAAGGTATTGGGACTCTAAAGTCTAAAGTCTAAAGTTTTACAGCATTGAAGAGGATCCCATTGTTAACTAAAAAAGTAATAAAAAAATGGGATCGAAATGTCGAATAAACAGCAGGAGCAGTGACCATTTTGTAGTTTATTGAATAATCAATTTAAAGTGACCTAATTCCCAATTTAAATAATTACGTTAATATATATATATATATATTTTTTTTTCGTTGGCGCTACAGACCATGAAGATCTTTGGCCGCAAGTGTGGTCTCCTGGACCATATCCTGATTCCCGGTTTAAATTACGGGGTAGGGTCATCAATCCTACACCCGGTCTGTGTGGGTTGCCTTCAGTAGACTGACGGGCCTCACATACCCAGGGGGGGGGAGGAGGAATCTCGAGCAGCATGGCTTTCCTTGGTGGACGGTCACCCATCCAATGTAAGGCACGCTCGAGCTTGCTGAACTTTGATTATGTATTGCAAGCGCTTTAGCCCACAAGGCTACCCCAGCCCCGTTTTATATATATATATTTATAAGGGAGCTATATGTATATATTATTTATATATATATATATATATATATATATATATTTTTTTTTTTTTTTCTGTTGGCACTACAGATCATGAAGATCTTTGGCCGGGAGATGTGGTCTCCTTACAGACGTGTGATACTTGCGGGAGCTCGCCTGGAGAGGGTCACCCAACCCCACGTTGCTATAAACCATGGTTTCCATGGTGCAGCAGCAGGCCACCCGTAGCTCCATAGCCAATCCCTTTAGGGGGGCCAATCTGGCAGGCAATGTCCTTCCCACCTACTTTCTCAGGTTCAAGGACAGTGACAAACCAGTCTAGATCCATGGTTTATGGCTGCTTGGAGTCAGCAGGAGCACGAGGACCTATATTTCTTTCCCCGAAACAGACCGTCCATGGACCGAATCTCAGGGGGGCTATTAACATCTTAGTAAACCACATCCCGATTCCCGATTCAAGTACACGGGGTAGAGTCATCAGTCCTACACCCGGTCGGCTAGGTAGGCTGACGGGGCTCACATACCCAGGGGGAGGAGAGACTCGGGCAGCATGGATTTCTCTGGTGGATGGTCACCCATCCAAGTACTAACCACGCTCCCATATATATATATATAATATACACACAATAGATTTGCTTCTGTTTTTTTAATATATTTTCAAATTATAAACTATTTCAGTTAATAATGCAATTAATATTTTTTTCTGTTTACAGATTTGGACTGAAAAAAAAAAGAAACATGAACCAGATTTAGATATTGAAATGTGTCCGTGCTCTAGCACCGTATGTGATACTGTTGGGGAACCAAACGGTTCTTTAAATGATGTGCAGGTATGATTTTACATGTTCTTGATGTTATAAATTGGTAGTCCTCTGATTTTTTTGGGCATTTTAATTTTAATAGAAACTAAAAAACAAAAATAACATTTTGATAAGATTATTTTTTTAAATCTTTAAGGACAGGAAACATGGCAAGAAGACAAATATGGGTAATTTTTTTAGGAATTTGTTCTTGATTTAGTAATAAGTTGTTGAGTTTAAAAAACTAGTGTATTTTCAAGGAAAACATGTTGAAAACAAAAGTTATTTGAAGAATAGATTAAGGAGAGAAAAGGATAAGGCGTTAGATTAGGATAGGTATCAGCAGAATTTTAAATTCTTAGGAATTACTGGGTATAGTAATGCTAAAAAGATGTTTTTCAGGAGTAATTTCCATTAACAACTTAAAGAAATTATGGGAATTTTGGTGCACCTCTCTCTATACTTAAATATTAAATAAAAGAGAGAGAAAAGTTAATAATAAATGCTTTTAAGGATTAAAGGATTAAGATTTCACCAAGGAACTTGGTGTTTTAATTCCTTGCTTGGGAATGAGAATGGGTATATAGAATAATGGGTAAAAATTTGATTGAATTTTATTTTTATTATTTTTTTTTTTATTTGTCTAGGCCTGCTCTTAGCTGTGATGTTTTAGAATATTTAAACTTCTTATGAAGGTTCTCGTATCCAATCATTAGATAAATGCCTTAAAGATGCTTTGTTCTAGGTTGTTCAACTTCTTCAATTGTTTTCTACTTCCCCACAAATTTGAGTGACAAGGTTTTGAGACTTGGCATCTTTGAGTTATTGAGACTCCAAATTATTCTCAATTTATTATTTTTCTCTCTTTTAAAAAATCTTAGCTAGGAAAGAAGAAATGCCTGACATATATAGTACCTTAGAGTGAAGCAGTCATGTTTTAATTATTTTAAATAAATAGATAAGTACATAAGTATTGTGATCACACTAGAGATCTGATTATACACAGTGTATAAATATGTTTCTTATGAACATTTATTACATAAGATAAAGACAAATTTATACATTCATTACATACAACCTATATACATACATTTAATGTATAGGATATGTATAAGATAGGTGTATAGATCCATTTCTTATAAACATTATATATATATATATATATATACATTTTTTTTTTTTAATTTGTCGGCGAGGGACATTTTATAGGAGTGATAGCAGACCTCAAGACATACAAAAAAGTTCATATAAACAATTAGTCATTTTCAGAAAAAAAGCAGGAAATCCAATTTTTTTGTTTTTTTTAAGAGAGTCATGTTTTTTGTTGAATAGGAAGCTATAACTAAAGAAATATTTAATTTAATTAATTAAAAATGACTTCATTGTAAACTAGACAAAGTTTTCTATAATTGATAAGATAATTTGTCATTATTAAAACCATTTAAAGAGCACATTTGAGCGGCTAAACTAAGTTAAGTTCTGTTTTAAAAAAAATTATAAATGATTCGCGATTTTTTTTTGTTATCCAATCATTAATTATAGAGAGAATTATGAAAATTTCTTGAAAGAATTGATGCATGGTAAACTAATTTGACCTGTCATAATCTGTTATTACTTAAGGCTCAAAAATATTTCTTTAATCTACAGTTTTACCTAAAATTCAAAGAATGCAGGTTTTTTTTTTTTTTTTACCACCAGTTGATACGATAAATTAATAATATATAACGTCAATATATATATATATGTATATATATATAAACAAACAGTTAATTAGAATTGAATACAAAAAAAATGTATGTATTGAAATTCCTACATCGATAGTAGAAAATGTATGTACTATCTCTTACCAAGTATTATCATATGATTATATGATTGCTACACAATACATATATAGTATTAATAGTTAGCTGGTATCTGACTGTTTTTGGAACAGGAATTGGAATAGGAGGTTTTTGAATGTGTATAGGGAGGGGGCATGCCGAATTTTGATCGGGAGGGAATTCCAAAAGTTGACAGAGCGGGCTATAAGGAGTTTTGGAATGAGGCAGATCTATGAGAAGGGATGTATAGGTCAGAGGGTCGAGATCTTGTAGTGAGGTAATGAATTGAGGACTTAAATTGGAGAAGGTTGTAGGCATAAGAAGGATGATGATCGGTAATGATTTGATAAAGGAAAGTGCCTAGGAAATATGTTCTTCTTAAGTAGGAGAAGAGCCACCCTAACTCAGTGTAGTGGTGGGAGACACTGGAGCGTCTCGGGATCCCAATTACAAATCTTATGAAGCTATTCATAAGTTTTGAGTCTATCACGGAGTTCCACCGAGAGGCCATCGTACACCACACAACTGTAATCAAATTGGGGAAAGATGAGAGAGGAAACTAGGAGTCTACGGGTATTTTGGGGTAGAAGATGGCGGAAGTGATGGAATAGTTTGAGGGTAGAAATTGCACGACGGGAGATATGAGAGATATGGTGATTCCAGGAAAGGGTTTGATCTATGAAAAAGCCTAAATTTTTAACAAAGGGTTAGAAGGTGATGGGTGGTTGTTTAGATAGAGTGAGGGAAAGTTGGTGTGGGTCTAAGGGGGGCTTGGAGCCAATGAGAATGGCCTGAGTTTTGGCAGCATTTAGCCTTAATCCATTTAAGTTGGCCCAGGCACTAATTCGATCTAAATCTTCTTGAATTTTGGCAAATGCCACCAATAACTCAGGGAGAAAAGGATAAATAGATTTGAGAATCGTCGGCATAAAGGTGGTGGGAACAATGGATGATTGAATCATTTAAGTCATTAATATAAGAGCTGAAAAGAAGAGGAGATATGCTTGAACCCTGTGCAACTCCAAAAGATAAAGGAAGGTAGGCAGATAGAGGTTGATTAGGTATGGAAACTACTTGGGTTCGTTGTGAGAGGAAAGACTGGAACCAAGAGATGGAACTATTGGAGAAGGATAATGATTTTATTTTGTTGAAAAGGATGGAATGGATAATGGAATCGAAGGCTTTGGAGAAATCAAGAAGTATAAGTATAGTTAGTTTTTTGTCATCTATTGCAGTCTGATTATCACTGGTAATTTTAATCAGAGCAGATTGTGTAGAATAGCCAGGACGGAAGCCAGATTGGAGAGGATCGAGTTGGTTGGATTGTTCAAGGAAGTTGGAAACTTGGGATTGCACTAACCTTTCTAGGGGTTTGGAGAGATTGGAAAGAATTGATATTGGGTGGAAATCTTCGGGAGAGGATGGATTAGGCTTTTTGTTTAAAGGAAGGACAATGGCTTTTTTCCAAGAGGTCGGGAATATTGAATTCTGCAGGGAGAAATTATAGATGAAAAGGAGAGTTGGGAGGATTTCAGGGAGACATAATTTTATTAGTTTGAGAGGAATGCCATCTGGGCCTACGGAATTGGAACGGGATTTCATTATAACGGTAATAAGGTCTGTGGGAGAAATGTCGGAAAAATAAAAATTATTGTCATTAAAAGGTACCTCTGGAGAAAAGCTGGAAGGAGAGGGTAAATAAGAGGTGGAAGCCGATAAAGTGGGAGTTTAGGTCATCAGGTGATATTGGGAAAACTGAGGAAAGGCATCTAGAAGGTTCACAGAGGGAAAGCTTACGAAGCAGAAGCCATTTTGATTTGATATCAGGAGCTGAGGAAAGGGCTTCATGAAAGTAGTTCGCTTTTGCTTGTCGGATCCTTGTCTGTGTCGTTTTACGAAGCACTCTGAATGTTTGATCATCTGCAAGCCTAGTCTGTCTAAAGCTTCTGCATGCAGCATTGCGTCTCTTCTGCAGATCCTTAATTTCCTGACACATCCAAGGAGCAGGGCAATGACGAAAGGTAGTGGTTTTGAGAGGAGCGTGGGTATTGAGTATATTGAGAAGATTAGTGGTGAGAATATCAACCATGGTGTCGACGTGTATATATATATATATATATATATATATATATATATATATATATATATATATTATATATATGTGTGTGTGTGTGTGTATATTAATATATATATGTGTGTGTGTGTATATTAACTAGAGACAGTACACTGCTTCATGATATCTAAACACATACTCATAAGTACTTACTTTTTATCTGCATTTTAAAGACACAGAAGGTATAATTAGATTTTTCCAATTATGACTTCATTGTTTATTTTATTTGTGTGGTGTATATAATAGTTGTAGCATAGTAATTATGTATTGTAATTAACATTAATAATACTAAAAAAATCTGCTTTATTAACAATTTAATGTACCCACTTCATTTTTTCTACTCTAAGGGAGCAATATTTATAAATGAAAATGATTAATGAATCAAACTGCACAAGAAAATTGTATATATCACATTATATACAATTTTTAAGTTCTAGGTTAGTATTTACATTGTCAATCGTAAGGTTTTAAAAAAAATGAAATATTATGCAAAATATTTGGACCGAAGTCACCCGGCAAATTTAGATGACTCCACAATCACATAGTGCATGAACAATACCCGGTAAATATAATTGAGATAGTAGCTTTTCAGCAAATAAAATGGGTGTATGAAATTTTTTGGGCTTTGTGGTAAACAAATCCGTAAAAGATTAATATGTGTTGTGCCTACTGGTAAGAGTCTGAGGAATAGACTGAAGCATAAGTGGGAGGAAAAAAAAAAATGCAAATCTGGGTGGGGTTTGGATGATGGGAGGTGGATGGTAGTTTGTAGACAGCTGTTATCATTATCAGCATCTAATGTTCAGGTTCTATAAGCCTTATATTATTATGGTTTTTATTATAGGTTCCTGAGCCTGTTCAAATTGAGAGTCTAGTAGAAGGAAACAAAAGTAATGTTGAAACTCTATCCATTACAGATACTTCAGAAAGTGTATGTATATTTATTTCTATTGATTTTTTTTGTGTATGGAAATATAAAAATGTTTTTAGTTTATCCAATATTACTCTAAAGAAGCTTATTTTGACCAATAAAAGAGATAAGTCTTCGAGTCATTTAAAGTATGAAACAGTAAGCAGTAAGCAAACTGTATGAATATCTCTTATTGTTTTAATTTGATTTGTATTGTTTCAGTGTCATATTATTACTCCTGACACTAAAATAAATTATCCCATTTTCGTCACAGCACATTGCCATAGTTCCACTTATATTTCTTAGTTATTTATTCAGTTGATCAATTTTTTATAACATTCAATATGCTGATCAAAAATAATTGAAGGATATATTTGATACCAAGATATTTTTTAAAAATACATTCTAAATCCAACATCATTGGTATTAATAGACAGCTATTGTATTAATATTTACCAAATTAATAAAAAATCAATTTTATTTATTTAAATTTTTTTAGAAATTTTTGTTTTTTGCATATATATAAGAGAAATCGTATATATTATAATAATATATTGGTTATCCCAGGAGGTAATGTCAGTAATTTAAGAGATTTAGTTCATCCAAAATGTTGCTCAGCTTCTTTATATCCTTCCTTTATATCCTAGTCTTTTGTCAAGATATGGTATTTATAAGGGTTTTATAGGACAACCAGTTGTTTTTGTTACATAAAGATTGAAAATTTTCTTATGTAATTAAACATTTCTCAATTTTTGTCCTCATTTTCTGAAACTATGATAAATTTTCTATGTGATAGTAGCTAATTTATAGAAAAATATTACTTTGTCAGGCTATCTCTTAATTTTTTTAAAAATGGGCTGTTAACTTAATGGGATTTATGTTTTCACTATTATATATACAGAAAAAAACATTTTTTAAATTAAGACTCAAACCTGGTTCTATAATACTATTACTATTCTAATGGAGAAAGTTATACTAGAAAAACAAAGATGTGTCATTTTATGCTTTGCAGAATGGTATAATTTTTAAAAATTATTTTTAATATATTAAATTAATTTAACAAAACCCTGAATAACTTAACAGCCTCACTTAATTTAATATATAACCTTGTATTTGAAGACTCCATAGGCAGTCAGGCATAGATGTATTTATTAAGAATTCTTTAGTTCATAAAATTGTCTTATTTGTGAAGGCTTAATTATAACTATTGATAATAAATAAAAAATATTTAATTTTATTTCAGATTTTACTCTCAAATCAACCAGTAATGCAAAGTAATGATATTAACAGCTTGAATGACAATGTACTCGAAAGTGACATGGAACCTTCTATTTACAAAGAACCTCTTGAATCTCTTTCTCTTCTTTTTCATCAAATAAATGGCTTACATAAAACTAGAATTGGTTTGAATCAAGAAGATTACATTGCTTTTTGTGCAAAGATTGTAAAATTGAAATCAAATCATAGTTTGCTCATTAGTGAAATTGAAAAAGGCAATTTAATCAAATTTGAACAATTAGTGGTTTGGGGAAGAAATTTAAAGAGGAATGTAGAAGATTTGATTATTGAGGCCAAGCCTAATGGTTCTAGTTTTGATGAAGCTAAAAAATTTGTATTTAAAATGATGCACACTGAAATCAGATATCGGCAGCATTTAGCTGATAGCAATGAAACGTATATTTTTGATGACACTAATCATTATAAATTTCATTGTATGGCTTGTGATAGAAGGTAACATAATTTCTTTGAAATCTAAACGAAATAGACAACAATATTTTTAGTAATAATTTGGTTTCTGTTTTTAGGGATGATAATTTAACATGGTTGGTAGCTCACCTTTGCAGAGATACTGCAGAAATGATCTATATGTGTTGTTTTTGTGGATTTCTATTTTTTAACAATATATGCTCACTAATTTACCATGTTATTTTGGATTTACTGGAAGAGCCAAAAAAAGAATACTGTGTTGAATGTCAAGGTTTCTTTCCATCTGTGGCCAATCATTTGATGGATATTGAAGGTTCATGGAAAGTCAGTTGCAATAGTTGTGATTTTATTTCTTTATCCCAATGCTCATTATCAATTCATCAAAGGTATCATAAAATGGAAAAACACCATGTTTGTCCAGAATGCGGTGCTTATTTTGTTTTTTTTGAGATATTAGAAAATCACATAAGAAATTATTGTTATTTTTATTCTAAGAAAATTAGACACATTTGTCCTATATGTGCCATTATATTTAGGGACAAAGAATCTTTATCTCGACATTTATTCAGCATTCATCATCAAAGATGGATAAAGTGTATACAGTGCCATATGCTATTAATTAGTAGAATTCAGTATATTTCACACCGTGCTCAAAATCACCCTGAATCACCTTGTACTTACCAAATATGTCATACTTGTATTTTATGTCCAGGGCGTGAGTTTAAAAGCTCTGCTGCTCAATTTCACATGAAAAATCATGCAAATGATGTGATAAATGTGATAATTTTGTATGTTTGTGATTGTAATTATTATACTATCCATAAAAATAACTTTATTGAGCATAAAGCTCAAAATTGTGAGGCTGCACCCTCCTTTGGAAAGTGGGATAATGATCATGAAATGAAAATATGTGGTATTTGTAATGATGTTAAGTTTGTCAATCTGTCAAAACCATTTATTTGCGAAGACTGTGAAATATTAAATAGTCCTCAATCAGTAGTTAGTTCTCTAACTAAAACTTATCAATGTAAAGTTTGTAAAATGTTTCTTATTTATAAATGGGAAGCTGTTATAGAACATTTTTTTTGCTTCCACCCTAATATTTCTGTGCACAAATTCCCTAACTGTGTAAAAAGTACTCATATTTCAGGATTGAACAATGACTGGATTTCTAAATCTTCCAATCCAGCTAATTCTCTTCAAACCTTTCCTAATCCACATACCAGATTTTGTGAAAATCCTCGAAAAATGTTTTTAAAAATGAGCAGAAACAATAATATTTCTAGTAACATAATAAATAGAAATGTTGCAAAAGCTCAGCCTGTTGGGAAAAAACAAACTACTAAGAAGAAATGTACAGCAAATAATGTTCCATTTTATAATAGCCTTTCTCATTTCATGGCTTCAAATTCAGCAGCATCAAGTAACCAAGTAAAAAGAGAGTTCCAAAAAAATAATACTACAAAAAGAATCAGTAACATTTCATTACTACCACAGAGCAATGATGATGTATCAATAAGAATGCCGGAACAGTCTGTTTCAGTTGAATACAGTACTATTCCCAGAGAAGGCAGTGATATTTTACTAGCTAATAATGTGTATCTCAGACAGAATAGTTTAGCTGTTGATATAAAACAGAAAGCTACAACAATGCTATGTGTTTCTTCAAATGAATCTAAAAAAAATGAACCAAGCTCTTCATCTGGTAACCTTTTATGCGGTAAGAATGGCATTATAGAAGCAGTAACTACACCAAATCAATCTGGTGTTATAGTTCCTGAAAATTCTGTTCATGCTTTGATCAAAACACCTGAATCCTCTGATAAAACTACTTCTAAGAGCAATATTATTTATGTTAAAAGGACAATAGATCCTAACCTTTCTGATAAAATAAATAATCACTCAATAAAAACAATAACCAATATCTCATCTGAAGATATGATTAAAACTGATGCTGAAATAAATTTAATACCAAAAAAAACTTCTCTGGAATGTAAGAAGTGTCAATACAAATGTAATGAAGCTGTAGAATTAGTGAAACATTTTGTTGATGCTCATTACATACAAGGTACTTATCAATGTATGGAATGTGGAGATTGTTTCGCTAATTTGAAAAATAAAATAAACCATTTAAGATCAACTCATAAAATTGACACTAAATGTTATTTAGAGCCTGATTTTAACAGGCTTGATACTTGCAGGTCACAATTTAAGTGCCCTGTTTGTTTGAGAGGCTTTTTAAGTGAACAGGACAAAAACCTTCATATGAGGTGCCATGGTATGGCATATCTCAAGTCAATAAGATCAACCTCCAAAGAAATGTAAGAAATGTAAATTATATTATATAATTTCCAATTATGCTAAATATAGCTCATATCTAATGCATCATATTCATGTATATATATATATATATATATATATATATATATATATATATATATATATATATATATATATATAACATTTAATTTAAATAATTACATCATGAAGGGGGGGGGTAAATATTGTTGTAATTTTTTTTATTTTACAATTTTTTAAAAATTTATCTCCTAATTTTGTGAATATGTGCATTCTTGATCTGTTAAATATGTTCCTATTATTATATGTTGTATTAAGTTAATTTCTAATTAGTAGATAATTATTTCAGACTATGAATTTTGGTCTATATGTTGCATTATTTTTTTTTAGAATTTTGAGTTTTAATGTATTTATAAAAAATGATTTTTTTTTTAAATTATCTTTTTTTTATGAATGTTATGGAATACTGTATGAAAGGTTTTAAGATATAATTGATTATTTATGAATTGAAAATAAATAAATTTAATTGAATATGTATATATGTAAATGTACATTCTTTAAATGTACGTATGTATAGACACACATACCTAATGTATATTGGTATATATATATTTTTAAAAATTTGATTTGTATTGCTTTCCTTCCACACTAAGATAGTCATGTGTATAAATATGTAATACATACATACACACTCATACAAGTTATAAACTTTGCTCTACCAACTTTATTAAATTATTGGCCTCCTTAACCAGTTTGCCTACTTAAAGCTTCACTTCACTTCAGCCTATCAAGAGAGGTGAACGATTTTTTAGTTCTCCAGGCTAGGGGTCTCCAAAATACAGCCCATGGGCTGGATCCAGCCAACAAGCAACTTTAATCCGGCCCGTGAAAGTTCCCTTGATTACATGGTAAAATTTTAAAACCTATTTAAAAATATAAAGTTTAGCAAAATTACTCACACATGAAGTTACTACAAAATTCATTGCATGGGTTGAAGTGTCATTTATAGTTTTTTCATCATAAACAATGGCCCGCGGGATTTGGGTGGAGGTCTTAATGGGGCCCGTGGAACTTAGTTGAGGTCTCAATGTTCCCCACGGGTCAAAAAATGTGGAGACCCCTGCTCTAGACCATGAAGTGGTTCTTTTCTCTATGCTAGAAATTCAGCAAAAGATGATGGCTGAGGAAAGGGAGGGATGGATGTCAATGTTCTTGGTTTACTCTTTTCCAAGTTTGACTACTCCTCAGCTAATGTGTGCTTTTAATTATAAACACTTTCCTTATTGTTAAAAAGTTGCATTTAGGGTTCTTTTTCATGATGTTTTTATGTTTGATCCATTTTGTTGACATATTTTCAAGATGTTGTTTTCATTGGTCATGGAAATTTGAGACTTCAAAATTTCTACCATTCACTAAGCTCTAATGTGTTCTAAATAATGTTTTAAAAAATAAAAACAAGTTATTTTTTTAAATTTTTAATATTAGATAATATTTTATTAAAGATAATATAATATTATATGTATAATTAAATAAACGAATTTTCATTTTAAAAAAATAAGTAAATAAGGAACTGAGTACCTGTTATAATACTTCAACATATATGTTGTGTATATAAATGTGTATAAGATTAATTTTATAAAATCATCAAGACATTATTTTATCTGAACTCATATTTTTTGAAATATAAAGTTTTAAAGTTTAATTTTTTGTATTATATAATAATGTTTAGTTTAACTTCAATCTATTCTGAAATAATGTTAATGAATAATTTTAAAATATTTTTGTAATTGTAGAAATACCAAAAGTCTTTTATGCACTTTGAAAGCTCTGGTGTAGAATTTGTTTATAATGACTTATACAAACAATACTTATGGTAGTATTAATTTTTTACCATAACTAAATTATTAATGTTAAAATTCTGATTCAGTTATGAATTTTGACATCACATAGTTACCTCTTTGTATTGACTATTTATATTACTTTATTTTTTATATGAATTGCATGGAATATATTTTTGTTGTCTATATCGAAAATTAAGAATTAACTGTAATTTCACTTGATTTATTAAAAAATAAAAATGTATTTTACAGATAAATATAACTTATCTTTTATTTATCAATACATTTAACCTTACAATACTGTTACAATTTTGTTGCATGAAACACTAAAATGTCAATGAACCTTGCAGAGCCTTCTGTATCTAGATAATAAACTTTGAGTAAATATCTATAGTTTTTCATTTATAGGAGTCCGTATACCTATTTTTTTATGTTATTGTGCTGGCATATTACATGGACATTTGCCCAATACATGAACTGGGTATTCGTACTCTTGACCACATTTATGACAGAGGGGTCCAAAATCTGCATTGGTCTGGCTTCTGGTATTTCACGGAGAGGTACCTAGTTGATGTTCTTTTCATACCATTCGTCTATTGTGAGCCAGTAAGGACTTTTCTATCGCATATACATTTTGCCTTCCACTGACACCGTAAAAGATCCTAGCCCTTGTATCATAGCCGAACACATGTTGGCCGGCAAACCTACCGTTGCCTCAATATTTCTATATAGTATGATATCTATAGACTTCAATACCGGTAAGAGCAATTTCGCCAATGGTGCTGTCTGCAGTGGGTGTATTAGTGAAGAGAATACATATCTGTTTACAATATTGATCTTTTGTTTTGGCTTAACTAGACTTGAATTAACCAATTTTTCCATATTTTGATTTACTTTAGTCACAGAACCATCATCAAACTATAACTCCCTGGGGATAACCAACACCCAAGATATTTGATGGTGTTACCCTCTTCAGTTGATCTTATTTTCTCTCCAGTATCTAAGCAAAACCTTGATTTTACAAAGTTTCTCTTCTCTAACGTAATCCCAGAACTTTTTTAGGGACTTATGGACAGTCTCAATTCACATAATATTCTTTGAACACAATTTATTGCTCTCTCCTCTGTCTCAATACTTCGAGTGGTTACCGCTTGGTAGTTTTGTTGATTCCTTATTGACTCTGATGGTTTAAAACACAATAGGCTTTCTATTGCTTTTCTCAGATAAGATGAAACACACTTAGCTTCAATGTACTTCAAAGTGTGATTCTGGCCAGTATTATCAAATGCTGCAGTTATGTCCTAGAATGTGGCTGCAGTATTTTTTTTATTGTTCTTAGCATCATTGAGAACAGCCTCAATGATTATTGAGTTCACATGGCACCCAGGTTGTCCAATCACTAAATCCCTCTGGTTTCAATAATACAATTATTGTCACATGTCTGGTGCTAAACTGGCCCACCGATGAAGCTGGAAATCTCTGATCCTCACAGGTTTCTGAACTGCACTTCTTCTTTCTACAGACATTAAGTCAGGTTACAACTGCACCTATGCATTATTACAGGCCTAAACTATTTATTTTTTTTTAAATATATATTAAACAAATATTTTTTTTGAACAAGATAACTTGTTTAGGACAACTGAAGGGATAAGTATACTTGCTGATGGTCTAATGTTTTCAATTTATGCTGCCTGTTCATAATATTTATGTTCGAAAAAATAATATCCTAATAAGATGGATAATAAGACACCTCCAAACTTAAAACTGTTCATCCATGACTTCTGCTTTATATTTTTGCAGTAACTGTTCTATTCTTTAATTGAAAATATTGATTTCAACTATCGGTTTAAAACTTAAATTCAGGAAAAAAGAATATATTATACAATCCATATAAGTTAAAGAAAAATAAAATGTACTATTTTATGTATTTTGGATTATTTTTTATTTATATTATTATGATTTAATGCTTGTCCATTAATATATTTCATAATAGGTCTGTCTCTTATGGGCCAAAAACTTAGAGTCACCCTTATTTTATTTATTTGTTATCATATAATCTTACATACAAAAAAATGTTTATTTTATATTTCAGTTAGTGACTACAGAATTTTCCTTTTAAGTTAAATTTATGCCAAATAATGCAATATAAATTTTCATTTTAACTTTGAAAAAGAGACTTCATTTTTTTAACTTTTTCCACTAATTATGATAATTAATGTTACGACTAAAAATATAATTTCATGTGGTTAATGAAACTTTTTGGATGGAAAGTATCATTTCTGAAATATATTTTTTGCTATGCTTCTGTTAATTGTTAGGGGGCCATGAGGAAAAAAGTGCCAAAAGCCGTAGGAAAAAAAGAGATTTATTATTATCTATTACACTATTTTATTTTTTTTTAAATTATGTATATTGAACCAGGAACGTTCAATTTTATATTTTACTTTCACCGCTGCATCCTGACCCTAACCTAAGACAATTTAAGGAATAAGCATTATAAGATAGTTATCATAACCATCAGTTTCGAGTTATGTATAGATCAGATGGAGGTGGGCATCTGATTTTATGTTGAATTTGGATTTTATGTGACCACAACAGGGAATTCATGAAGAAAGCTGTACAGGAAATTCTTCTATCTCATTTCTATGGAGATAATTTTAATATTTAAATGTGATTAATGCAGCTCTGCTTGCATTTTAAAAGTTTTTAAATGTAAAAATATAATTTCATTTAATTTTAGTTGCTTCTCAAGGCAAGTGCCTCCTTTGCCTGAGTGTAAATCCATCAAGAAACATTTTTAAAATTGACTGATTTATGATAAAATAATATATAGATATTTTTTTTTGTTGGCTAGGGATGATACCAAGCATTAGAGAAGTATCCACGAATTATTAAGTTCTTTTTAAGATTCAATTAATTTTACCATTTCTTCATTACTTTATCAAGTTTTGATTTTATATTTCTTACAGGTAAGTTTGGATCAATTTATAGTTTTTTTTTGTACAGGGTGTACCTTAAGTAGAGGGAAATATTTAAAAAGTTGATAGTAGATGTTGAGATCTACAAAAAAATTCTTATAAACAATTGTCCAATTTCCAGCAGAAAATTTATGATTTGTGTTTTTTTAAGGTAGCCACATTTTTTTTGTTGACTAGGAAGTGATAGCTTAAAAAATATTTTATTAAAGAA